AAATTTATTATGGTTTATAATGGCAAATGATACTTTGAATATTACATGTTAATAACTTGATTGGAATTATAACCTTGAGTTGACAGTTTGATACTTTGAAAATTTTGAGCCAGCCCTACCCCCAAGGGCTGTAGGGTGGGGCCCAAAGGAGTCAGTGTGCTAAAATTTCTTCATTTTCCTTGTTTAGAATCAGAGGTGCTAGTTTCAAATACTTTTTAGTCTTAAATCTGTATGCTAGATATTGAATAAGGTGGTTTTATTGTTTTTTGTCACTTTGAATGATATTTCTGTACATGTTAAACACAAAATCAACTCTCTGTATGAATATATCAGGTGACCGTTAAGGCCCATGGGCCTCTTGTTGATTTTATTTTCGTTTTTCAATATTTCAAAAGAAAGATTTATCATAAAATAGTAGCTTATATTAGTAAGTATGTAATAGACAGAATAAAACATGCCTTTTTCCATATCACACCCAGTATCAACCCGAGACTGCAATATCAGCCCAAGGGCCGAGGCCCGAGGGATAATATTAGACGAGGGTTGATACTGGGTGTGATATGGAAAAAGGCATGTATTATTCTCTGTTTATTGACTTATACTTCAAAGTAGTAAAATACAGTCTATGTACATAATAAACTACAAAAAATGCTACATTTTGTCATATTACATACATATATATTCAGACAAATAAACCCAGAACTATTTCGTACATTTTGTTAAAAGAAAACATGTGAGCATGGCCAGAAGCTAGTCACTACCGCTGTCTGAAAATAACACCATAGGCCGTTTCCTTGAGGCAAAGTGATTATTAACCTGAATATTCCTTTGACCAGATATCTGTAGAAGAGGAAGCAAATTCAGAACCATTTGACGACAAAACGTTATCGTACACGTAACAGTGTGTGGCGTGTTTGTTATTGTACAGGATATTATACAAGTGTTTTAGTGTTTTGGGGTTTTCTTCTGCAATTGAGGTAAATCACAATTACTAAGTCGATTTTTGTACCAGCATTATCTGGTTGGGTGGTGATCCGTTGTCGTATAAAGACTGTTTTCACTAGATTACTACATAATCACAAAAAGTGCTTGCAATTACGTCATTTTATTTGTTCTTTCCACTTAACGATGTACACCACTGAGAAAATCAAAAAAATAGTGTTTTTTTTTTTTTTATATGCATTTTTCGAAAAGGAGTTAATGGCATAACAGATGATAACAACAAATTAAATGTCCGTGTGTTCGTTTTTTCGCTTAAATCGATAATTGATCAAAGATACCAATTTAACATAGTATGTGTTTTATGTGCGTGTTTTTTATTTGGTTTTGACCATTTGCAAATCAAATTCATACAATATATTCCAAGTGTGTTATCAGATATATGCAGAATTGATAAAACAGTATTTTCTTCAAATTATATAAGTACACCTTCTTAATCCGAGGCTTTTAATTCAGAAAAACGATTTAGATAACCTCTACCCCTTATTTTATAGAAAAGCGATTTAGATTACCTCTACCCCTTATTTTTAATAATAAAAAAAAAATACTCACTATTCTTCTAACTAATGTGTTTCTCGTTGTTATACAAATACCAATAATGTATAATTTTCTCGTTATACAAATACCAATAATGCATAATTTTCCTTTTTGTTGCATATTGTTTTCATCATGTTGAACATTATAGAGTTGTATAGCAGAAATGAACTTGCTACAATTAAAAATGCCGGCACAATGCCGATTTAAGTGATCAATCTAGTGCCAAAAAGGTGAAACTTTGGCCTGTTGTAAAGAGCAAGAAATACACATAATGGCCACCTAATTGGTCATTTTTAAAGTTCTTATTAAAGAAGTTCTAGAAGTTCTAGTTCTATTTACATCAAATACTTTTGCATTTTAGTTATGGAATTCAAATATCAAAATGGGGGCCCATGTTTCAATGTATAAACACACAGCATACACAACTCAAAGATGTGAGATAATCGTGAAATATGTACTATCTCCTTCCGGTTTCTCTTTCAATAGGCAGAAAAAAACCGTCCTCCAAAGAGTCTAATTGATAAAAAACTGCACACCATACTTCAATGAATGATTTGTTGTATACCGGAGTGTGTCCACGAGTTATTCTCAGTGAGTAATCTGAACAAAACATGTATATATGTAAGCTTATACATCAGTTATATGATTTTATACTTATACATCGTAATCAATAGGCAATACATAGATAATCTAATCAAAACATAAGTAATGTAATCTATTTATAATAATACATAAGTAATGTAATCTAATTATAATAATACATAAGTAATATAATCTATTTATAATAATACATAAGTAATGTAATCTATTAATAATAATACATAAGTAATGTAATCTGATTATAATAATACAACAGTAATGTAATCTAATTAAAATAATACAACAGTAATGTAATCTAATTATAATAATACATAGGTAATGTAATCTAATTAGATTACATTACTGTTGTATTATTATGATTAGATTACATTACTTATGTATTATTATAATTAGATTACATTACTGTTGTATTATTATAATTAGATTACATTACTGTTGTATTATTATGATTAGATTGAAAGGTTTCCTTTTAAATTACTATTCCAGTTTCATTTCTTTTGTATTGTACTATACAATACTACAGTTTGTTGATTCAACAAAAGTCGGTGAGATGTGACCTGTTTAACTACTGAATGATAGAATAGTTCTGGATTTTTTTTTAATTGAAAGTTATCTGAAAAAAAAACCATTACATAACTATTGGAAGAGAAAAAAACCCATTACATAACTATTGGAAGAGAAAAAAAACCACTGTCAAACTAAAAACACTAATCAATCCATTCATATAAATTCTAAAATTTTGTAAGAGCATAGTTGCGACATTGGAAAAAAAATAGCAGTATTACTAGTCAGTGAAAATTCCGTTATGCGAAGGATCAGACATGAACTTAGGCAAGTCTGCAGGAGCTGACAGAGTACTGGGGGATTCCCAGAGTGCGTAATGACGTAAGAGAA